TTGCCAGCTTTGCATTCTAAATATTTTTTGGAAGAGTCCTGTGTTGACCACGCCCTACAAGAAAGAAAGTTCACCCCAGTGGGCTCAGCAGGAAAGATGTTAAGGGAAACTTCGGGGACGTGCAGTCAGGTCGCGGGGACAGATGGGGTGGTGCGGCCTCGGGGCAGCCACTGGGACCACAGTGCAGCTTCTGATGTCTGTAGTGCCTCCAGCTCCGAGCTCACCAGGCAGGAGCAGGGAAGGAGCTGGGGGACTGGAAAGCAGTGGTCAGCATCCGGGGGCCCGGCAGGGCTGGGGCTGGTGGGGGGGTGTGGGGATGGGGACAGGTGAGCTGCTGTCCCTGGCTGGGAGAATGGGGTTCTGGCTCTCAGCCTGTCTCCCCCCACAGAGCAACCTCTGACCGCCAGACAAGACAGCAGGGTGAAAGCTGCCACACCCCAGGATGGGAGAGAGGTCAGGGAGAGCAATCGGGGAGTCAGCCGAGGGAACGGCAAACACTGGGCATGGCTGCAGCTGTGCAGTGTCAGCGGATAAAAGTGAAAGACAGAACCAGTGGTGACACGGGCTCCCCTGCCCCTCGGAGGAGTCAGGCTGTCACAAAGGCCCATATGTTGGCTGGGTGCAGTGGCACATGCCTGTAATCCTACCATTTTGGGAGGCTGAGGCAGGCAGATCACCTGAGGTCAGGAACTCAAGACCAGCCTGACCACCAGGGTGAAACCCCGTCTCTACTGCAAGTACAAAAATTAGCCAGGCACGGGGGCACACACCTGTAGTCCCAGCTCCTCGGGAGGCTGAGGCAGGAGAATTGCTTGAACTCGGGAGGCCGAGGTTACAGTGAGCTGAGGTTGCACCACTGCACTCCAGCCTGGACGACAGGGCAAGACTCTATCTCAAAAAAAGAAAAGAGAAAAAAGTAGGGCCCCTGTGTCACAGAGACCCAGGAGAGCACTCCGTCGGCTGTAGCCAGATCCTCTGAGCTCCCGTGCCCACGCCCCGGCCCGGCCTGCTGACCTTGCCCACCGCACGGGTTCACTGTGGCCTCGGCTTTGCTGTGAGCCTGGGATGTGCCACGACCCAGCCTCCTGGCCTCTCACTGCAACTGGGTCTGGCCCATGGAAGCTGATTTTGTTTGGGGGAGGTTGGGGCGTTTCTCCCTGGGCCGTCCTGCACAGGAGACTTGTCTCCACTGACGGTGACTGCCTCTGGGGACTACATCTGCTGGGTGTCTCCACCCCAGTGCTCCCGTCTTCCCTCACTCTCCAGCCTCGGTGGTGGCCGCGCTGCCCGTCCCCGGCACCCTACCTGGGCCGGTCTCAGTCTCTGCGGCACGCTCCTCCCTCTGAGGGCCTTGGCTTCCTTGGGCCCCTGACCGCCGGCCTGGCTTCCTGCTCCGCAGGGTGAGCATTGGGGAGATGGTGAGAGAAGCCGACACCCGCGTGGGCGTGTTCAGTCAGGGCAGAGCCTCGCGCAGCCCGGTGCCTAACAATCTCAGCAGTTAGGGAAGTCAGGATATTAAAGAACCTACCAGGTTAACTTCCAGCTTCCATTTAAAAATGTGTCAGTGAGGATTGATTCTGGATGTGCAATTTAAAATCCGACAGGATGAGAGGATTAAATACATTTGCAAATAGTCCTGAAATGCTTCACAGAATTTGAGATCTGGTCTAAATTCAATGTATTAGATAAACTAGAATGTTTAAAGCACCTGACGGGGGAATTTCCGGTGTGATGTCAGGCATTCACAGTGATTAAAAGAAAATAACACATTGCATTTATAAGTGTCATTTTTAAAAGGCTCCAGGGAATTTCATTAACTAAAAGCACAAAAACAGTGATTGCTGTTTCATGGTGTTATTTGATCTGCCCAACCTCAGTTAACCAATCAGGGCCACGGGGAAGGTTTGTGACCATAATAATACAATAATAATTTATTAATTGGATTTGTGACCATAATAATATGATATTTAAGGTGAACTGTGAGTTTGCAGCACACAGGTTTTGAAAGGCGCAACTTAATAAACTACATATACATTTTCAAAAACTAGCTTTTGATAGTCTCTTCTGTGAATAGAAGCCCACAGGCAAAACACAAAAGAAACGAAATGAACCACCCCCCAGCTCAGACCCTCACACGACACGGTCCAGGGAGACGCGGCCCAACCCCAGGGCATCACATCTCTGTGCCCTGCAGGAGCCACCCTTGCCCAGAGCAGGTGCTGCCGCTGGATTCCTGGGCCAGGAGTCCTGTCCTGGGACATTCCCAGCTGGACGTCCTCAGATGCTGGGCCCACTCTGAGCTCCACCTTCCATCTCACTTGGAGCTGGAGCGGGTGGTCCTGAGACGTTCCCAGGCCCTGCCTGCCCAGCGCCTCCATTTCTTCCCTGCCCACTGCGGCCGCACCAGCCTCTGGAGCAGCAGGGCCTGGGCACAGTGCTGCGAAGCCCCTGTCCTGCGGGTGACGGCCAGCCTGAGCTTAGAGGGTCTAGGAGGAGAATGAGCTCCACCACCCTGGATTCCCTCGTTCATAACTCAGCTTCTTCCAGAACTTTCCATCAGTTCTCTTAGCCACCATCGTAGGTTTGAAATGGGGAAGAGGGCGAAAAAGAGGAGCTGAGCCTCATGGCTCTCCCTCTGGGACGGGCCTCATCGGGTGGCTGGGCACGCAGCCAGGGGAGCCTGCTGGGCTGGCCTGGGCCTTCTGTGCTCCTGGAAGACGTGGGGCACAGAGCTGAGGCCTGCCTTCCCCAGGCCCCCAGTTCTACATGGGCCTTCCCAGCTGTATGTACCCCTAGGGTCCTCCAGGTCCACACAGGCCTTCCCAGCTGTACCCCCAGTGTACCCGGTTCTATACTGGCCTTCCCAGCTGTGCCCCAGCACCCCCAGCTGCACCCCAGTGCCCCCCAGTTCTACACAGGCCTTCCCAGCTGTGCCCCAGCACCCCCAGCTGCAC